CACTGTCTCTGTATGCAATAAATAGGCCATCGCTCTTCATGTTAAAACACGTATGATTCATCTCTTAATAATATTCTGAACAAGAAGTATAAAATCTAGTAGTCCCTGGTTATTTAATCCTTTCAAAGCTTTTTGTTTGTGAAGCATGGTTGAGTTATGATTAGATTTTATGACTTTGTTTTCTCTACTTGTCACCTTGATTTGCATACGCTAGGGCAAAATAAAAAATATATATATCCAGTACATCTTTGCAATAAATGCACATTTCCCCATGATTTACACCCTTAAATACCCAATATAGACACTCATTATCCTGCAGTCCAATAGAAGGTCATAGGAGGGCTAATTAGACTCCTTAATATCACAGTAGGCGTGCAAAGGAAATAGGACAGCTCTGAATTTCTGGCATGATCACAAGGTTTATTTTTGCATTTATCAAGCAGACATAACAAAACACTATTAAAGGTATTTTTAACAGATCGAAAGGGAGGGAAAAAAGTAATGTTGTTAGGCTTTACATATGCTTTACTTTTTTATTAGCAGTCACCTTACCTTGAGACCCCATTCACACCATTTCAGCGCTGATTTGAGCTGAGTGACTTTGAGAGACATTGAGCTACAGTGCACATATTGTCGCGCTACGTAGCGCTGCTTTTGGCATGGACTTCGTAGCTGCTACATTGGGCTGTATACAATCAAAAGCGGTCTTGATGTTACATAATTCCTCTTCCTGTTTCCTGCTTGTGTTCCTGCTTATATTTCTGTGCAAAAGTGACACTTATGTAGTCCGACATCGCGCAACACCATTGAAGTCTATTCGGCCAAGACGCACAAAATCCGCCAAAAAATAGGTCATGTTCAAGCGACAAGCTTGAGCTACAAGCTACAGGCGACATTGAACTATGAGATGTGAACAGCCCCAATGAAATGCATAGGACAAGCTACATTGAGCTGATGTTTGAATGATTTTTGAGCTGAAATTGTGCTACAAATCGCTCGGTCTGAATCTATGAAATAGTCTGTAATTGTTTCAAAGTTTATATGTATGAGTGCAATGGATTTTTGCAAATAGTCACCTCTCTGTGTAACTTGTAATTACATAAATACCTTGTTTGCTCACTATATATGCATGCCATGCTCCCCGTAATAAGGTGTAGCCCAGCTGTTGTGCTTTTCTACTGGTATAATCACAACATATACATAAGCTATGAACAATACGCTCTCCAGCTACCTTATCCTTTAATTGATCTCTTCATGGCATTCACCCAGCAAGGGTGCTGACTGTTCTTTCCAACATACAGAAAGCATGGCTATGAAGCCTTATATGTTCATGTGAGTATGGCAGAACCAGCAGGTTGGCAATCACTTTAAAATGAATTACCAATATTAAATCCAAATAAGCACTCAGTGAAGATACATGGCTGTCTCTCTTTAAAAAACAAAATCCTAAAAATCCGTTGTGGCCCTAATTGTTTTTTAAATTGGCCACTTATTTCACTTCCTCCAGCCCCAACTACTAGTTTGATTTTACACATGCAGGGCCTCACACTATAGCAGTTTGTAAAAGAGTCATGAGTTTCCCACAACAACCAATTATATTTCAGCATTGTGTTGGTTTTTTGTTTTTTTTTGAATACACTCTTCCCCAAAAAATACCATTCAGCTTTGTTTTTTAATTGCTGTTTCTAATGTGGAGTCAAGAATCCTACTTGATGGTATGTGTGACATACTTCCCTTTCTGACCCTTGCCACACAAGGAGTTTCCCAAAATGTAACTTTGGCATCTGTACTAATAGCTTTCCCTCATAAGTCAATGGCCTAACCACAAGTAGCATCTTCCCCTGTTTATATTGATTTTTTTCTTTCAGGAACAGTTCTCATATTACCTTCCCTACTTAATTCACTTACTGGTATTGTTGTCGTCCACAGACCACTGTTGAAATCAATAATAGTGTATAACTGTTACAGATAAAAAACATTTTTCTGGGAACATGCTGTGGGTCAATGAGAGGACTTCTGCTAAGGGAAAAGTAACCTGTTGTGCCATTTCTACTGTTGAGAAACTACCGGTCTCACATTGCTCTATCTTAAGGTCTTTATTTAGAGAATCCCATGCTGCTCTTTACCACAAACTGCACCTGCTGTCTGCACATCTTTTGTTTGAATATAACCTGGGTGTAGCTTAATATCTGGACTGCTAATGCAAAATATGCTCCTGAGCCACATGGCCTTATTGATAATATCACAGAGATGTAGTGGTTAGAGCTTCTACCTTGCAGCACTGGGGGTCGCTGGTTAAAATCCCAGCCAGGTCACTATCTGCAAGGAGTTTGCTTGTTCTCCTTAAGCTTGCATAGGTTTCTTCCGGATACTCTGGTTTTCTCCCACACTCCAAAGACATGCTCGTAGCTTAATTGGATCCTTTCTAAATTGACCCTCGTATGTATGTATGTGAGATAGGGACCTTGGATTGTAAGGTCCTTGAGGGCAGGGACTGATGTAAATGTGCAACTATGTAAAGCGCTGCGTAAATTGTCAGCGCTATATAAATACCTGTAATAATAAATATATGTCTAATATACACAAAATGAGTCATAGATTATACTACTTGTGACCATGAATATATCTATCTAATAGCGACACCTTGATGATGCTACCATTTGTACAGTAAGGGGGAAAGCGTTAAGCATTCTTGAATCAGGGTCAAAACTAGGTTAGCCAGAGAAGAATTAAGGCAGAATGGAACAAGATAACAGCTTTGGCCTCCATTCTCATTGATTGACATTAACAAGGATTGTGTAGGCACAGAGAAGCCACCCAATTTGCATTGTCTGTACTGACATGGTCCCTCCCAGTCAGACACCAACTGTCTACAAGTAAATCCTCCCTTTTGAATTGACACCCAGGTGCACAAATGTGACAAATTGCTATCCATTTAATTTACTGCAGGAGCATGAAGGTTGAAGCTGTGACTCCTGGAGATCCACCAGACCTTAGGCTCCTGCTGCTGTACCAGTGAATATCACTACGAAAGTTGCTAGTGTAGACAAGAAACTACATGGCTTACAATGCCGAGTTGGAGTTGGACTGCACATTTCATTATTCAGAAGGCTCACCGGGCAAGAATAACTTGTGGTTTCGTCCTGCTCCACAGCAACTTCCTTGTACTGCTGCTGACTGTAAACAGCCGTGTCCACAAGCTGTTCATCATACAGCCTTGCTTACTCTAACTAATCTATGCATTTAAAAGTGGTGGTATCCATTTCCATATCATTATTAAATTGGAAAGGCGTTGCTTCCTGGGCCAGACCTAGTAAGATATGTTGGCGGCTCTGCATGGAGCTGCTTTACCAAGCAGATATCACTTTAAGTGGTATCTGCGGTTACACTGGTGGGGATTGTATAGCTACCTGCTCCCCATTCAGACATACAATTACAGCACTGAGCCGAGGGAAGCCCTTTAGCGGCAGCTTTTTCTAAGCTCTAAGATGTTGTGCAACCGATTCCTGATGCTGAAAGATGTGAATAGATGTGTGACAATAAACCATGTCCTTTAGGAACACCCATGTTTCGCCATGCCCACCATTAAATACGGCATGTGACATATTTAGCATGAAATCTAACATTAAAATGCCAAATGGTTGTGTTTTTGCCCCCCTAGGCTAAAGGTTCTTTGTTCTTCTTCCCTGGAAGTAGGAGTGTCAAACTTTTTACTAACCAAGGCTCCAGTATCCACAAGCTTTCCATTTTTATTTCCATTCAATGAATGCTTTCTCCATGCCAATTACATGTAATAATACCATATGTTCTACATACTGTCACTGGTGTATTCTCCTTGCCATAGAGTTATAAGACAGCCACTAAGTAGAAAAAAAAAGTCACTGTGAAAGTGGAATGTAATCTAGATCCAGCTGAGGCAGATGTTTTGTGGACTATTAGTCAATCGTAACTGTTTACCCTGCAGCCATTTTGTCGCTCAGTTTATTAGGAAATAGTGATATCTCTAAGGTATTAGACACAGAATGGTTTATGTCTTTGTGAACCTCTAGCCCTGAATGAATTGAAAGTATGCATCCTTGTGAAGGTTGGATTGAGTGCACAGTAACTTTTCTTTCTCTGGAATGAGAAGTCGGGCCAGGGTGAAGCTGCTTGGGCTGTTGCCTTAGGCCATAAGCTTTCCATGCCTTGCATACACATCAGGTATTTCTACAGTCTAAACAGAGGCACACTTTACCTCCCAATAGGACTTTAGTTGAGATGTCTTGATTATTTTAGCCGCAATAAAGGGAGGACTTTAAAGTAAAAGTTTGGCTGGCTATGGGCATTCACATATTTAAATGTAAGCAACACATACATAAGCTGTAGAACAAGCCATCACTGACCTATGTTGCTTCAGGCACTGCAGAGCAATTTAAAATTTACAGCAAGAAGGACTTTCATTTTTGTTTCAGTAGTTCAGTTCATTCTTCTCCCCCGGCTAGGCAGCCTGCTAATGCACATACAATATAAACATAGTAAAAGTGCACAAGAAGAGGAGAGAGCAGAGTGCTGAGATCTGACTTGAACAACTTCACTGCTTCTTTTGTTAAGGGATGCATTGCTCCTAAGTGTCTGTGACTAAAAAGGTCAGTGAGGACATTTAAAGCTTAGTTACTGCTTGTTAAGTATGTGTATATTTTTGACTGTACATAGACTGGCCACAGGTCTAAATTAAATGAATGTATGACCAAATATGGATACTATAGGAGGAGGACTGTACGCCAAGGAGACAGGTTCTCCTGAAGATTTAAGCTCTTTATCTTGGTCTCATGTGCAGCAGCTCACATCTTTTCCCAGTACACCTCGCACATGGATTGCTTCCTGGCAGCACAACACAATGAATAATTAAAGCTAATTTCCATGTATCAGTCTTTTTTTTTTCTTTGGCTTTGTTTTTTGCATTTAAAGTAACACTGTTTTTGTTTTCTTTTTCTTTTATTCTCCCTTTCTGGTTTCCCAAGTTCCAGATTTTCAGGAGCATGATATCTTCTTGTGGAGGAAGGAAACTGGCTTTGGCTTCAGAATTCTTGGAGGGAATGAACCTGGGGAGCCAGTAAGTAAATGATGACAACAGATGGCGGTGTACAATGTGCAAGGTTTTCTTAACACACTTGACAATACTTATAGATAGAAACTTTTCTGGTGACTGGCAGTCGCATTGTGTTTGTGTGCACGTGCTGAGGATCCCTATTGGGATAATCTCTGTTGTCAACTGTGGTGCCATACACAATAGAGATTAATTATCTCTGAAGTGACTCACACAATGTGTACATATTACACACCCTTGAAGTAGACATGCACAGTCCAGTGTTTGACAGTGTAGTGCCAGATCCTAGCATTGCTTGCTACGATTGGTAACAATTAGGCCTGGGAAGGGATAGCTAAGCAGGGGTATTAAGTGAGTCTTACCAATGGAGGTGCTCAGAAATGATCAGACCACCAGGGACTGTCTAATCCTTGGTCAATGTCAAAATAAACATAACACATTTAAACTTGAAAGGAAATATGGCTTCTTAATTTTAGGTATAAATACAAAGATGGAGCTTAACAAAAAAGTCATAATATTGTGTTACTATTTTTAAACTCTTTGATCTGTTTATAGTTTGTAATATCCAGTTTAAAGCTAAAGCCAGCATTTCCATTAGGATTTATGTTTAACACTCCCAGGCTGCAGCTAAAGGACACTTTACAGCTTGAACAGGGATGGGCAACTCCAGTCCTCCAGCTGTGCTTTAACTACCAATCCCAACATGCTTCTGTCTCTGGGAGTCATACCTGTAACTGTCAGTCTTGCAATGCCTCATGGGACTTGTAGTTCCACAACATTTGGCAGGCGGGAGTTCAGCGCTCCTAAACTGAGCTGAAGGATGCTTCTAGGTTTAAAAAAATGCCCCGAATGTTTGCTAAATTCTTGCCCAGTCTGATGCTTTTCAGACTAGTGTTTACAAACCGGGATTGTGCAGTATCTGTGTGTATGAGGCTATAAAGGGAGTCTGTAGACTTTTTAGAATCGTTTAATTAGATGTATGATTATGATCTGCTGAATGTAAGTTATCATATAAATAAATGTTAATGTGTCAAAAGCCTTGTTTCTGCATATAGTTTGACAAATATCTATATACAAGGAGACTGCCGGATTGATGGCTATAAAATAAGAGAAAAAGCTCCTGTAAAAGAGAAATATATACATTGATCAGCCATAAAATTCTGACCACCCGTCTAATATTGAGTAGGTCCCCCTATTGCCCTCACCACTTGAGGCATGGACTCCACTAGACCTCTGAAGGTATGCTGTGGTATTTGGCACCAAGCCATTTCAGCTACAGAAGCTCTTCCTTTGAATCAGACTACAGGTGCCAGCCTTCCATCCCTACGTGCATCAATGAGCCTTGGTCGTCCATGACCCTTTTGCTGGTTTTCTTTTCTTGGACCACTTTTGGTATAACTTGAACTCTGCAGACCAGTGCATCCCACTTTGAGGTCTGTCAGATCACTGTAACCACTACTGCCCTCTGTGATTACCCCCTCTGGCCCTTACATCACTACAGTGCTTTGCCCACAGAGTGCAGTGGGGGTAGAAGGCATCAGAAAAGGAACTTCGTCTTCATTGCTCTGCAAAAGAGCAAATATTTGTTGAATGGGCAAAAAGACAGGCAAGAATAGTCTCTTCTTTCACAAAAGCTTCTTTGTTTGTACTATCTGTTTACGATTTAAAGTTGCTTTTAGTAAAAATGTGCATGATTGCTCTTGGTATATTTTATTTGCATTTCATCCTGTGTCTTCTCCCGACAGATATTCATAGGTCATATCGTTCCTCTGGGGTCAGCTGATGCAGATGGGCGGCTGAGATCAGGCGATGAATTGATCTGTGTGGATGGCACAGCAGTAGTTGGGAAATCCCATCAACTCGTAGTACAGCTTATGCAGCAAGCAGCTAAGCAAGGCCATGTCAATTTAACCATAAGACGCAAAGTAGTTTATCCAGGTGGGTAGATAATATGCTCCTAGCTTACTCTCCTTACATTCCAAAGTATACCTGTGAGAAACATGAGTAGATTAAACTGCGCATACTGTGAAACAAACACACATTCTTAGCGGCCTTAAGTAGAAAAAATGCATGTGATTCCGATCAGTAGATCCCGGATTGGTGAGTGAGGCTGCCCAAGACCAATTGGCAGCTGGGGTGTTGTGCCAAGTTCAGCTTTAACTTAAAGGAGAATTATGGGGTCACTGAAAAACACTCATCCCCATAGTTGAAACCGACCTGTGACCGTGAAGCTGTCACAGGTCGGCTCTATTGATCAGGAAGTCAGCAAACATATAGCGCCTATCGCTGACTTCCCGATCCTCTCCCTGAACAGAGCAGTGACTGTCATTCACCGCTGCCTGCAAGGATTCCCCTCTCCCCTTTCCATCTCTCCAGCGCTGACTGAGGAGGTGGGCAGGAAGCTGGCTGTGCCTTTAGAGAGACAGAGCCAGCTGTCAATCAGCCAGCGGGGTGGACTCTGCGGTCTCAGCATAGGCTATAGCTCACTATATACTTAGTTTTGGGTCACCGGAGGACATTAGTATATGTCCTCCTGTAAACCATGAAGAGAACTACCGTGTTATATTTTTTTCAGCTCAAAAAAACACACTAGGTCTTATTTTCGGGGTAGGTCTTATTTTTTTTCAATGTACAACAATCCAAAGTTAATGCAAATCCAAATTAAATAATCAAAAATGGCAAAGTTAAGAATAGGGTAATCAGGGCAATCAGGGGTGCCGTACCTGGGGAGGGGAGACAGCGCTATAGAGGAAGCATCGGCTAATGCGGCTCTGCTCCCTCCGCTGCCGCCTCGATTCCTCTAGCGCTGGCTTTGTTTGCACTGCTGATTCTCTTCAAGTTCCCCCTTATGACACAACTAGGTCTTATTTTTGGGGTAGGTGCTATATTTTAGCAATTCCCAAAAAAAGTACTAGGTCTTATTATCGGGGTAGGTCCTATTTTCGGGGAAACAGGGTATGGGCAAACAAAGTTGCCCCATAGTTCTTCTTTAATTTAATTTGATTTTTGCTTATATCTTCAACTGCCAATATTCCGTATATGGATCTAATAACCCCATTTGACCAGGGTTTTCACTAAAGGTAGCTTCTGCTTATGCATTTTCTGAAACTTATGCTCAGTTTGAATGGCCATGTTTGTGACAGATTTACTTTAAAGCAACCTGACAATTAAACTGCAGAAAAAGCTGTCCCTGCAAAAGAAGAGTGTAAATACTCACCTCTCCCTCTGCTCACGCCACTGAATCTGCTGAATGCTCCGTTGGAGAGAAATTGTCTACTGAAGCCAGTTCATAAAACCAACACTTTCTGGAGGATCAATCTCCTGATTTCCTGCTGTGATCAGTGGTTCTTCCCTCTGACCTAAACACCACTACTGTGTGTTGTAGCAAAGTGGAGGTTGGTTGGAGGTACCACTGAGCATAGCAGGGGACCAAGATATTGACCTTTCTGAAATTGATGGTTTTCTGAACAGACAATTTCTCTCCAGAACAGCATTCAGCTGTGCAGGCAATGGGAGAGGTTAGCATTTACTTAATGCCATTTTTTTTTTTTTTTTGCAGCTTTTCAGGCAGTTTCATTTATGCAACAGGGTTGCTTTAATTGTGACTTTACTTTTGCATAAAGGAGCATGCCTCAAAGCAATGTTTTCTCTTAGAGTCACTCAGCGGGCAGGCTGATCCCCCGAGTCAGTGTAATTGCCTTCTTGACATTCAACTTATGCAGCTGACTGCCATCCACATGAAATTCTTTTTTGTTGCTGATATCCTGATGTTTAAATGTCCCCAAATCTGAGTCTGACAAATACCTTCCCTGGTTAATAGTTTGTTTTTGTCAGCCCCAGGGGTCTGTTGGCAGCATGTTGACACCCCAAGAATGATAGATGTGAGAGATCTACTTGTGATCTTCCAGAGCAGGGATTCTTAGTTTTTTAAACACATAATTGGGTGTAAGACTGGATTTCCGAATAATTAACAAACAATATTTTCCTAGATTATCTTACCAATGAACCTCGTTACCAATATGGACTGAGACGGCAAGGACGCTAATCTTTTAGCAATCAAATCACTTAACATGACTGTCTTCCCATTTGCCAGTATTGCCAATTGACAAGTTGACATCGTTGAAGTTAACACTGCCATATGTAAAGTAAAGCCAAGCTATTGACATCTTTTGAAGTCATAATAGCAGCTAATAAGACTGGTGATAAAAATGTTCAATCCAACAGGCTGGAAAAGAGGTTATGGGGACATATTGTATAATCCATTAGGATCTGTAATTGTAAAAAGGTTAAGGACCCCCTGCTCTACATTGCGATACCACGGGGACTTGCTGCAGCATTTGCAGTTCTGTACATGTTCTTGGTGTCCTTTTTGGCAAAGAAAAGTGAGCAGTTGCTGAACTCTGTGAGAGCTCTATGTGCACTAAGCACCCATCTTTATTGCTTGAAAGATAATGTATAGCATTAAAACACATGATTCTTACAGTCGATGCCCAAATTGAACCAATCACAGACTAAAAACAAAGAGATGAAGTGTTAATCTTAATATAAAAAAAACTTTTTAAGTGACAACCTGCAGCTGTTTTAATTTTGTTATATCTTGGAAGTTTTTCTTTTATATGCAGGGTCAGAATGATGGATAAAGGATGCATTATACATGTATTGTTTATACTTGCATTTCTACATTTGTAAATATAAATGAGGCTATTTAATTATAATGTAAATTATATTGGTGCTGTCTTGTCTTAACCATTATTTTGCCACCATTATGTGCCCCAATAATACCCTCTTACAAATGTACTACCATTTTGTCTTTCAGTCCTCAAAACAGAAAATGAAGTCCCTGCTTCACCAGCATCTTCCCATCATAGTAGTAACCAGCCCGCATCTCTGACAGAGGAGAAACGCACGCCCCAGGGCAGCCAAAACTCATTAAACACTGTTAGCTCCGGCAGCGGATCCACCAGTGGAATTGGCAGTGGTGGAGGTGGGGGGAGTGGCTTAGTCAGCACTGTGGTTCAGCCTTATGACGTGGAAATTCAGCGTGGTGAAAATGAAGGTTTTGGATTTGTCATTGTGTCGTCCGTCAGCAGGCCGGAAGCCGGAACCACTTTTGGTGAGTGCGGTGAACATGCCGTTGCATACAGTTACAATTAAAGGATCATTAAATACAAAAAGTGACACCACAAATCAAACTTCCAGCAAATAGAGCTAAATAGACACTCCTTTCAATTTCATTGAAGTGTTCTTGTGCACGCAGCCATTTTGAGGGATGGCTCCAGCCTAGCTGAGACTACAGATAATTAGACTTGGGAGAAAAAAATAAAATATAATTGACCAAAAACCATAGAAGTTTTCTTTAAAGCCTTCAGCAATGGTAGCTCCCATCTGTCTACTTTTACAGGTTCCCTTCAACATTATTCCTTTCATAATCTCCCCTGAAATTCGGAAAAAAGTATGATCTGATTGCTACGTATAACACAGACCTCTTAACAAACGAGGAGACCCCTTATTTTGAGCTCAGTCCTAAGACAAACAGGAAATTTGTATGTTGCGCGTTTCATTTTCAGTAATTTAAACTGACTGATTAATACACTTTGAAAATTTATTTTGCTTCTAGTTGTATTCCATTAGGAAGGCAAGTGCCATCTGAAGCCCAAGACGACAGTAAAAACCTGTAATTATTGGAAAATCTTCTGAGCGATTGTAGGTTTATGGCTCGGCTCTCGTGCATCGGGAGCCATAAAGATGGGCTCTTGTATTCAGCACTGAAAGAAATAAAAGCACACAGACTATTTAATCAACTTGTTGGCTTCAGTCCTAAATAAAATATACATTAGGCCTTGTAACATTTTGTAGGCTTTGAAGTGAAAATCAAAAGAGGTTTTTATTTGAGTAAATATTTCATATCTATACAAAAATGTTGAAGAAAAAAAAAATGATGTCCGATGAGATCAAAATAAAATAGAAGATGAAATATGTATTTAAAATATCAAGCAGTATTTTCAGGGCATGTTTAATGCAGCATTGTGAAGTTTGTCTAAACAGTTTTGCATTATTATCTTTATTTCCTTAAAGTGACATATTTTCATGATCATATGTCATGTGTAGTTATGTAGGTACTCCCCAGTAGTGGCTATCAGCAAATCTTTAACAAAATGAATGAATAAATGAACATTAGGGACAATTTCTGTGCTTGCCTATATGCTATTGATAGTTTAGGTAAACGTCTATTAATAAACCTCAGTTCCTAGTCTTGCCCTTGGAATATGATGAGTAGGGATGACCTCAGGTTTGGACCTAATCCGATTAAAATGTAAGCTCCTCTGAACAAGAAAGTGCCTGGGGCACTTTCACCCAGTCAGCTACCGTACAGGTATTCACCACCACGCAGCAAAGGAGTGGGATGCTTGTTCTGATGTCATTTGCCTAATATGACTGTATTTAGTAAATGTAATTGATCAAATAGGCATGTCGCCATATAAGGTCAATTACTTCACTGCATCCCACCGCTTTGGTTACGTTGAGCTGCGAGTGGGAATTCCTCACCAGAAGCTAATTGGGTGGCACGGAAGGAGCTTCCTTCAGTGTTCGGGAGGGGCTCCCTCTTGGTTCGGAGGAGCTCAGGAACCACTAAGCTCTTCCCTGATGACAAGTAATAAAGAACCTTCACTCTCCTGTACTTCTAAGCAAGATGCACAGCTTCCTACAGCCCCAGGCACCCATGTGCATGAATCCTAATGGTGAACAAATGTGGCTACTCCTAGGCAGACAGTATTTAAAGCTATAAATACAAAATTTTAAACATAAACATATTAAAATATGATCAAATCCACGCAAAAATAGAAAGAATACCTTATTGCAATGCACACACATTTTATGCATCTGTTGTGTTTGTTTTGCTAACTACTGTTCTCCACTTCTTGTGCTTTGTGGTTTCTTTTACAAGCTTGGTAGTGGCTTTGTTGCATTTTAGCAATGGTGATAATTAAACTATTCCTTACTGAATTCTTGTACATCACTGAGTATCTGAGGTGGAAGGGAGCGTACTATATGCACTGATTATCATTCATGAACAAAACACTGGCAAGCCTAAGTGGGTGATTCGTCTTGCTGCAATATGGGAGATCGCGGGCCTGATATGGAGATGGGGGGGATTGTGGGTAATCTGTGGCCTTGAAGACAAATGAGCTGACCCCAGCCCATTCCGTTTTAATACAAGTGCTAAGCAGCAAACCTTAGGCAGGTTCCAGGAAACAAGTTTATAATGGCCCTGTAAATCACCCCGAGGGTGTATTGAAAATAGATTTGGCAAAGGAATTTCCACTTTGTTCTTTGCATCATTATTAGATGTAGAGTGACCATGCCGAGCCCAGGTTCACCCTGATTCAGCCGCCAAATGCAGTGATCAGGTGAGACTTATGCATAGCAGCCAATAGCAAGCATTGGTGACAAATGGATATGCACATTTTTGCATGTATATTGTTAAGAGATACCTATAGGATGGCCACCGATTATAGCAAGAGCACAGGTTAACTGTGTATGTGTAGCTATGCTGCAAATGCTAAGCTGAAAGTTGTTATAACTCTGGGCAAAAATGAAAATCTCAGGATCTCGGTTTTACGTCCTTGTTTAACAGGACTCCAGAACTGTATTCTTGTTTTAGCTGTAGCTTTGCTTTGTGACTGAGCTTTTTCAGAATGGGGTTACATTTCCCTGGGAGTATAACTGTGGCCAGACATTGAAATATTTAAATATTTTTTAACAAGCAGTAAATTAACTTACCTCTGTAGCTGCAGGCACTGTGGCGTAATTCATCCTCAAAGTTTACAGCAGAAGCACTGTTACATTCAGCAGCTCAGTTCAACCTGCTCCTCCATCCCAGCAGTGACTTGGTTGCCTGCCAGCCTTCTAATCTCTATTGTAAACACATAGCAGGGGCACAGGAATAGGTATAGAGGAGAGTGCTACTTGAAGTTCATTGCTGCTCTTGTGAACGTGAAGGATGAGGATGAATTAATTCACAGTAGCTGCAGCTACATAAGCCAGTGAGGTCTTGTTTTATTGCTCACTCACTGCTTATTAAGAATAAGTAAACGCTTGAATGCCCATAGCCTGGCCACAGGTCTTCTTGTTAGGAATATGTAAATGCCTCAATGTTCATAGCCTGGCCACAGGTTCACTTTAAAGAAGATCTCCAATCTACTCAAAAATTGATAGAATTAATGGCAAGGGACTGTGATCTGTTCCAGATAACAGCACATGAGGTGGCTTTGTATGGCTCAGTGATTGATATGCCATCAGCTAGATTGGCTTGCCAGTGTTTTCTTCAATGTGAGCAGCACAGCTCCGCTAATACTTGCTTAATGCATTATTAACCGCCAACCTTCTTTCTCCTTTCTCAATCCTTTTCTCCTGTCCCTCCAACATCTTGTCACTTTAACACAAACTGTGACATACAAAAGCTGGAAATGCATGTGTGGCCATGCCTCATAAAATAGGTCGAATAATCGAGGGCAGCCCAGCCGACCGGTGCGGAAAGCTCAAGGTGGGGGATCGGATACTGGCCGTCAACGGTTGCTCCATCACCAACAAATCACACTCGGATATTGTCAACTTAATTAAAGAAGCTGGAAACACTGTAACTCTACGCATCATTCCTGGAGATGGTAATGTGTCATCTTTATCCCGCATGTATAATGATATTTTCATTACTGTTATAACTTGTATCTGCACTAATATGAATTTTTAGCCCTATTCCTTCCAGTTTTTTTAAAAGCATTATGATTAAGAGAAGGAAACATTTTCCCAGGTTTTTATTTTTATTTCTATTTGTAAGCTCACGGGGAAGGTTTTTCTTCTTTGCTTCCCGGCCCTGTGGTGCCCATAACAAAAATAGGGAATGCAGTTGTCACCGGGAAAGGAAGACACAGACGGCAATAAAAATATTGTCAGAAGTAACCCTTCCCTGCTCTATTAAAAATAGCTTACCATCACTTTCTATCGTGTCAGGAAGTGAGGACAAGTCTCATCAGGGGCACAGAGAAAAAAAATATGTGGAGGTTCTAACCCTTCCCTGCTCTATCCAAAACAAAGTAAGTTTTGTCTGGAGCTGAGCTTTAAAGTGGATGTTTTCAGTAAAAGGCAAGGTCCGCTTACATTGCCTGGGCCCCCTCTCCCTTCACAAATCACCTTCTGTTATTAGGTGTGAAATTTCCCTGTATGGAAATAATTAGGGCTTATACCTATCTCACTATTGTTCCCTGGCCGCGGCACCTAGGTGAGGATGACGTCACACTCCCTCTGGGGAATACAGAGCAGCCGAAACCTCACAAGAAAACCCTCTTGCAATGGACTGGAGTATCTTCTCATGAGATTTCACCTGCTCTGCATTCCCAAGAAATATTCCCGGAAGGATTGTGATGTCACACTCAGCAATGCGGAAGACGGGGTAATAAAAGTATATATCTAACTTTTTTTTTTCTACCGGTACATTTTTAACTTAACAGTAACATTTGTAAAGGGAAGGGGGTCCGGATAATTTGAGCCAACCTTGCATTTTACTGCAAGGTCAGCTTTAAAGGAATTATATTCTTCCTAAACCCTTTGGTCGTCATACTAGAACTATTTTTAGTCTTGTCTACAATGGGGAAGTGTTGGAACTGTTGTCAAGTTTGTATTTCTGTCTGTTCTCTTATTGGGAAGACTTCCCTTCACTTCTGCTGTGTCTCCGGGACAGGAAGTGAGGAGAATCTGTCCAACAGACAAAAGAAAACTAGACAGAGCTGACACCACTCAGGCCACAAAAATGCTGTGTGTTGTCAGCCCACGCTATTACAAAGTGTGTTTATAGCAGATCAACGTTCTTAAATCGACTTTTGTTAAGCCAGCTTGTGCTGACAGAGCCATGCAGGGCTTGACTTTTGGCCAGTTCAGCAGTGCAATGCTGTAGACCCATTGCAAACAACATCAATACAAGTCTGTGTGATGACACTTGTGTTGAAAGGTGTGGCTGTTACTCAGCTCTGACAGCACAAAGCACTGCAGTGTGAGGGCTAAGAGCAGCATTTTTACTTCATGAAAGGGGTATCTTAAGGCTAGGTTCACACGTAGGCGATTTATTCCGCAGATTGAGTTGCGCGATATCATGCAAAACACAGAATCACATATAAGTCAATGGAGTCTGTTCACACCTTTGTGGTTTGTCGCGCGGATGAAATCGCCTGTCGTGCGAAAAGGTGCAGGAGCGATTTTCGGGCGGTTGTCACGTGGTTTGGGTCCCATAGACATCTCTATACATTGAAAACCTTGCGGCTTTCAATGAATAGTCGCGCAATCGAAAACGCGCTAAAACAGCTCGGCATCTGAATCGCCTAGGTGTGAACCTAGCCTAAGGCATTTCCCAGCAAAAATCACAAGATATAACATGCAGATGTAGGAGAACTTATGTAACATGTGCGGCACAATAGGCGCAATCGTCGTTTTCGCACGTAGGCACACCCGACGCATATCTACGTATGTGGGGGGCGGGGACTTAAATTTTTTTTCATTTTTTAATTTTTTTTTATGCTTCTTTCTTTTTTTTTATGATTCTTTCATTTTTATATTAATTTTAGTAGCGCTCTTAACACACACACTGTTCGTTTTTTGCTAACACAGGGTTCCGCTCCCTGTTTTCACAGCCCTGTTGGAAGACTAATTTGTACCTTTGGTAGTGCGCTTGTTCCTTTTTGTCCGTACTGAATGCAGGAAGTGATGTAATATACATCACTTCCTGCATTCGGGGACTGAGAGGAGATCAAAGGGATCAAAGGGAGTTCCTATACTGAACTCACTTTGATCTCCTGTCACAGAGCCGTGCCGCTCCCGGCCGCAATGGGCACAGCGGATCTCGGGACCGGCAACGGCAGTGACAGCTGCTGATACAAGCGATCGAGCGTCTATAGAGACGCTCGATCGCTTGAGTGTGTTAAGCTCCCGGCCGGCCGTGGAATTACAAAGGCCGGCACG